GGAAGACCCTTCCCATCTCCACGTCCCTACGTTGGAATGGGTGAAGTGAAAACTCATCCCCATATCCCTATGTCAGAAGGGGTAAAGACCCTTCCCAACCCCGTGCCCCTGTGCTGGAGGGAGTGATGACCCTTCCCATCCCTGTGTCGGAATGGGTGAAAACTCTTCTCATTCCCATGTCCCTGTGCTGGATAGGGTGAGGACCCTTCCCATCCCTATGTCTCTGTGTTAGAGGGGGTGAGGACCCTTCCCATCCCCATATCCCTATGTCAGAAGGGGTAAAGACCCTTCCCACCTCCGTGTCCCTGTGCTGGAGGGAGTGATGACCCTTCCCATCCCTGTGTCCCTGTGTCAGACAGCCTGAAGACCCTTCCCACCCCAGTGTCCCTGTGCTGGAGGGTGAAAACCCTTCCCATCCCCGTGTCCCTGTGCTGGAGGGGGTGAGGACCCTTCCCCAGGCCTCGGGAGGTCCCACCACCCTCTCTCCCCCTCCCGTGGGATCCCCAGCCCCCCGAGGCAGGAGGCCCCGGGTCCTGCCCCGGCTCAGGGCTGTCCTCACCCCGCAGAGAGCAGTGGGGAGGAGGGCAGCGCGGTGGTGCGCAAGGAGCGGCGCCGGGAGACTCCCAACCCCATGATCCAGAAGGTGAGGGAGCACAGCAGGGTGAGCTCTGTCCTGCTGTGCCTGCAGGGAGCTGCCAGGCCCAGGGCTGGAGCTCTCTGCCCCCCACAGCTGCTGTCTGCCCCCCCAGACCCGGCGCTGCGCGCGGGAGAAGACGTCCTATGCCCCCAGCAGCAGTGAGGATGAGGATCCTGCCAAGGACATTGGGGTCACCTACAAGTCCACCAGGTCGGCGGTAAGGATGGGGCAGCTCTGGGGTGTCAGCTGGGGTGGGACTGGGGAGATCCCACTCTTGGCAGAGAGAATTTGCTGCTGCAAACGTGGGATCAGCCATTTCTTCTCCCTGTCCCTTCTCCTCCAGCCCTTGTGCGGGGTTTGTTCTGATAGCCCCTGACTCCACAGGCCATCAGAGGTTGGCTTTTCCCTCTGAGAGGTGGGAATTAAAACCCCCAAGTGCCTCTGGACTTGCCCAGCATCACACAGAACTTTCAGGAGAGGGAGCACTTGGATCAGCATTGCCCAACCGTTGAGTTCCTCTTTTCAGTGTTTGAGCATCTTCCTTCACAGACTTCAAGGTGCCTTGGGAATTGTTCCCAGCTTTGTCCTTGTGCTGGAGTAAGAGCTGCACAGAGGTCATTGTTTTCTTGGGATTGGTGGGTGGGGTGTCCTGGTAATGTCTGGAGTGGAGAGGAATCAGCTCTGAAGTTTGGGCACAGCTCAAATTGCTCTTCCCACTAGATTTTTCTGTTAATTCTCTCTTGATCCAATGAAGTTGTGCCCGTCAGTGTGAGCCTGGGTGGGATATCAGTGGGATTAGAAGCAGGTGTCCACAAATGTTCCTCTCCAGAGCTCTTTCCTGCCCTCTGGATCAGTGGGAATAAAGCTGACCGTCCCCAGGCAAAGCTGCAGGTCAGACCAAGGTCTCCTTGTGACATTAGAGATCAATATGAATATTAATTGCTGTGATTATTCCCTGCTTTGGTTCCCAACATGTTGGTTTCCCTCCTTGCTGGAAAGAATGGGCAGGGACAGGAGGAAGTGGCAACTTTGGGACTCCAGAAACCTTTGGCACCCGAGTTGGATTTGTGTTTGAGTCTGGCAGTCATTGTTCTTCAGTTTCTGTGCAGCTGTTCTCAAAGACCTGATAAAACCTTGGAGTATGTTCTGTCCAGGCCATTAGGAGGAATCTGAACCAGATCACTGTGTTAAAACTGAGCTTTGTCCACCCCCAGCTGGGTCAGAAGTTCCTGTGTGTGGGCAGGAGGGTGTTGGACACCTGAGCTCAGCTTCCAGCTGAGCTGGGGCTGAGCAAGAAGGAGTAAAATATGGCCAAGTGTTTCCTGACCTCCATCTAAAACTTGGGAGCAAGAGGGAATTAACTCTCTGGATCTGGCCCATGGGAAATTCTCCAAAGGGGCAGCAGAAACTGGTAGAAGGTAAAGGTGTGTGTGGTCCTTGCTCTGTGACAACTCTTCAGGTGGACAAGGAGCTCCCTGTCTTGTGCAGGTTTTCCCTCCACTCTTGTCACAAGTTTTCCTGCTTTTCAGAAACCTGTTGGCCCAGAAGACATGGGAGCTACGGCAGTATACGAGCTGGACACGGAGAAGGAGAAGGATGCTCAGGCCATCTTCGAGCGCAGCCAGAAAATCCAGGAGGTGAGTCAGTCTGTGCTTTGCTCAGCCCCTGCTGCACACCAAGAGGAGTTGAAACCTCTTCTTCCCAGGAAATTTGAGAATCCAACAGTGTGAAATATTTGTGGCTTTATTGCCATCTTGGTGTTAAAGAAGGAAGAGTCATGTCAGAGTGGCAACACCTAATCTCTGTCATGAAGCTCTCCAGGTCCTTAATCACCTCTTCTTGCTTCCCTAGGAGCTGAGGGGAAAGGAAGATGATAAAATCTACCGTGGCATTAACAACTACCAGAAGTATGTGAAGCCCAAGGACACGTCGATGGGAAATGCCTCTTCAGGGATGGTCAGGTAGGTTGGGATGAGCCTCAGAGGAGCTCAGGGACCATCCCAAAGTCACCTGTTTGGGGCATGGACTTTGCTGTCACCGTGTTTCTGTCTGTCTGACGGGTCTGGGGTCTGGTTGTGGCCCTGTCCCAGGGTCCTGCTGCAGCCTGAGGCCTCTCCCTTCCCTCAGGAAAGGTCCCATCCGTGCCCCTGAGCACCTGCGAGCCACGGTGCGCTGGGACTACCAACCTGACATCTGCAAGGACTACAAGGAGACTGGGTTCTGTGGCTTTGGGGGTGAGTGGCTCCTGCCTGCAGCTCAACACGTGCTGCTCCAGGTCTGCACAGGGATCCAGTCCAGCTGTCTGGCATCTTAGTGTTAAAGAAGGAAGAGTCATGTCAGAGTGGCAACACCTAATCTCTGTCATGAAGCTCTCCAGGTCCTTAATCACCTCTTCTTGCTTCCCTAGGAGCTGAGGGGAAAGGAAGATGATAAAATCTACCGTGGCATTAACAACTACCAGAAGTATGTGAAGCCCAAGGACACGTCGATGGGAAATGCCTCTTCAGGGATGGTCAGGTAGGTTGGGATGAGCCTCAGAGGAGCTCAGGGACCATCCCAAAGTCACCTGTTTGGGGCATGGACTTTGCTGTCACCGTGTTTCTGTCTGTCTGACGGGTCTGGGGTCTGGTTGTGGCCCTGTCCCAGGGTCCTGCTGCAGCCTGAGGCCTCTCCCTTCCCTCAGGAAAGGTCCCATCCGTGCCCCTGAGCACCTGCGAGCCACGGTGCGCTGGGACTACCAACCTGACATCTGCAAGGACTACAAGGAGACTGGGTTCTGTGGCTTTGGGGGTGAGTGGCTCCTGCCTGCAGCTCAACACGTGCTGCTCCAGGTCTGCACAGGGATCCAGTCCAGCTGTGCTCCCAGAGACGGATTTACACACCCCTGAGTGCAGAGCTGTTCCCTGACATTCCTGGCACTCCTGTCAGCCCTTCTAAACCCTCTGATGAGTGGTTATAGGAGTCCTGGGAGGGATTCCCCACATTCCACAGGTATTGTGTCCACTGAGGGATGGGACTTCCTGTGCCTTATCCCACATGTGTAACTGCTGGAATTCTCCCCACACAACCCTCACAGCACCGAGAGGGATCCTGTACCTGCTCCAGGAGCTCGGCCCTGCCCTGGAGCAGGGAGCCATCAGGCTGCCCCTGCACGAGGTGTCCTGTTAACACTCTGCCCTCATGGCCTGGCTGGTAATTCCTCTTCTTTGTGCTGCTCAGACAGCTGCAAGTTCCTGCACGACCGCTCGGACTACAAGCACGGCTGGCAGATCGAGCGGGAGCTGGACGAAGGTCGCTACGGAGCCAACGGTATGGCAGCTCTGAGCACACCAGGTTATATTCCTGCAGGGAATGTTATCAACTCAGCCCCTGCTCCAGGGGAAGCTTAGGGCCAGTCCCTGCTGACAGGGCTGAGCAGATCTGCTCTCAGGTAACCACTGGTTCCACCCAAGAGCAGGATTTCCTTCAGCTGTCTGGGAAAGGCAAACACTGCTGTGTGTGGGGCCCAGCAGTGTGTGGACAGGACCCTCAGGGTGCCCAGGACGTGGGATGCTCTCCTGGACATTTGTCAGTGTCCATAGCTGTGACCTGAGGCTAAGAGTGTTGCTCATAAACCAGTGTGGAGCTGAGGGGAAAAGTGTTCTCTGTTCAGCTGGAGCCAAAGAGTTTGGTGGCAGCTGCTTTGGAAGAAAGGCTAAAAAAACAGGAGGGGGCTGGAGGATATTTCTCTTTATAGCAGTGAGTGGGTGAGAGAGAAGAGAACTTGCTCTTGTGAGATGAGCAACAGGCACGTTGGCTCATTAGCCCTAATTATAGCACAGTCCCACATGTGTTACTGACATCAGCATCACCCAGATGCCAGAGCTCTATTGTTTGCAGCACAGATCTGGTCCCACCTGCTGTGTCTCCCCAGATTTCATGTGCCATGCCCCACACAGGGGCTGGTCTGGCTGTCTCTGCTCTCTGGTCTGGTTCACTGTCTCTTCTGCAGATGATGAGAACTACGAGGTGAGCAGTGATGAGGAGGACATGCCTTTCAAATGCTTCATCTGCAGGAGTTCCTTCAAGAACCCTGTGGTCACCAAGTAAGTGGAGCCACGTGGCTGCTGTTGGTCCAGCTCACGAGTGATTTTTTTTTTTAATTTGCTGTGGCAAAGACAAACTGCCCACAGGCTGTGGGTGGAACCTGCTGCTTGTCTGCCATGGCTCTCTGGTGGGTGGGGATCCTCTGAGAACCAAGGGGTCTGAGCTGCATCTGGAGCATCCCCTGGGGAGGGATCTCAAGTCCTTGTTGTCCAAGCACCGTTTAGATTTCCAGAGATGCTCAACCTTTTGTGTTTTCATGCAATCTTTCCTCCTGGGAACTGTGTGGCAGCTGCACTGCCTGAGCAGAGAAACAGGAGCATTGGGAAGCCAAGAGCTTGGCAGGGGTGAGCAGGAGGCTGTGGGCAGCCCTTTCCCACCCTGCTGGTACCTCTGGTGGCTCTGTGCTCACTCCCCATCAGTGAAGCAATACCAAAACACCTCCCAGGGGACAGTGATGCAGAGGAAGCTCTGCCTGCAGCTCACTTTTGCCTCCTGCAGGGACCATGGAGAGGGTGGTCAGGCAGGGGAAGGGGCTGCCCAAGGAGGTGGTGGAGTCACCATCCCTGGAGGTGTTCAAGGATCAGCTGGACGTGGCACTTAGTGCTCTCTCTGATGCAGCTGACAAGGTGGTGATGGGTCACAGGTTGGACTCGATGCCCTCGGAAGTCTTTTCCAACCTTAATAATTCTGTGGGACCATCAGTGAGTAATTCCTGACTCCAGGACACAGTGAGTGTGTCTGGTGCCTTGCAGTGACCTGTGTCTCTCCACACAGGTGTAGGCATTACTTCTGTGAGAGCTGTGCCCTCCAGCACTACCGCAAATCCCAGCGCTGCTACGTCTGTGACAAGCAAACCAACGGGGTCTTCAACCCAGCCAAAGGTAACAGGCTCTGGGAGAGACCTGGAGCAGCAAAGGCACCAGCTCCACATGGAGCTGGTGGTGCTGGGCCTGGCTGAGCTGCAGCTCACAGCTCTTGGCTGCCAGCAAAGTTAGTGCCAAGAGATTAACTCATGGTCTGGGAGCTCTGGGGGTGCAAACTGAGGGTCTGTGTGTGCCCAGGTGGGGAACTTGGGGAGGGACTGCTGGAGAGGGAAGGGATGTGCCTTGGGGAGCAAAGGCAGCAGCTTGTCCCATCAGTCAGGCACTGATGGAGTCTGTGAGTGCAAGAGCAAACTGCAGCAGCTCCGTGCTGAGCTTTGATGGACATAGGTGAGCCTTGGTAGCTGTCCTGGTTCTGGGTGTTTGCAGCCCCTGCACCTGGAGCCTCATTCTGCCTCTTCCTGTTTTTCAGAGCTCATGGCAAAATTGGAAAAACACAAAGGGGAGGAAGAAGAGGAGCAGCAGTCAGACCATGCAGAGGACCCACAGTAGCAGAGCACCCTGTTTTGTATATGACTGAATAAAGTTTTTGTAGGAAAGGGAAAAAACCCTCACAGCAGTTGCCTCGGGGCCTGCAGCTGGAGCCAGGGGCTGTGATCCAACCTGCAGCTAGGAAAAGTGTCCCCCTGGACTCGTTCACTGCTCTGTGGAGGCACAAGGCAGACCAGGTAAGGTCAGACCCGAGCCCTGTGCTCCCCCAGGGCCCAGCAGTGCACCTGGAGGGGGAAGGAGGTGCTGAAGGCTCAGTGTTCAGTTACTTCCTAATTCTGCACTGATCCTGCTGCTGTGCAAGTGTAAAACTCTCCAAGTTAAGTCCATAATCTCTGAGCATGGAGCAAGCTGGAAGTTGGGCCAGGGATGTGAAATGTGAGCTTGCATTAAGTTCATCCTTCACCCTAGAAGTGCTCAGTCCTAGCAGGCTGGAGCAGTTATGGGTGATTTGTTCCCTCCTGCCTTGGTTCCTAGAAATCAGGAGAGGGAGAGAACTTCAGTGAGCAGAGCTCCAGAATCAGCTCTGTTCTGTGAGGAAACCCAACTCCATCACTCACTCAGCCCCAAAGGTTTCAGGGCAAGTGATGCTGTTCTTTTTCTTGCTCTTAAGTACCAGGGATTCAGTCCCTGTCTGGGAGAGGGATAAGGATTTTTGCAAGCTGCAGATTCCATAACAAGGCAGGAAATTTAAGATCTATTCCCTATAATAAAATTAATCAGGAGCCAAACCTGATCGTGGGGAGGAAGGAGAAACAAACATCCCTGGTCTGGGAGAAGGGTTTACTGAAGAGAACAAAGAGCAAGTCCAGGTGTTTGCAGCTTCTTGCTTGAGTTGAAATGTTGAAGGTAGTTGCTGTGAAAAGCAGGAGGCAAGCTGTGTCACCCTCTGTGACCCACTCCATCATCCTGCAGAAACAGCAGACTTAAAAAAACAACTTGAGAAATATTTTATTTGTTTTGGCAAAAAACTAGAGTAACAAACTTTATCTGGGTTCAAGTACAGTTTATAAACACAAGGAGGACCTGCTGCCAGCACCACTGCTCCCATCAGCTGCACTACCCAGGGATTCTCAGCGCTGCAGTGGAGAGCAGGTGACTTCTAGCACCCATGGTCCTTGGAAAGGTCAAACTAAAAGCCTTAAATACACCTCCAAAAAAACAACAGAACACCGTGGAATGGGGGAGAGCTGCCACAGCAGTAGGGCAGAGTCACACAGCCACGAGGTGGGGGAGCCACGGGAGCAGCTTTTACCTGTCAGACAGTCAAGGAAGGCAGAACAGCAATGGTAGGGAAGGGCTCACATCAGCTCTGTACAGGAGTCATGGGCAAGAGGAGCAGGAAAATCATTACTCTTCTCCTCCATGCCAGGGTGTGTCACTGAGAACAGGCTGGTAAGAG